TAATTGAGGTAACTCCGTTAGTGTTTCGCTCTCCCTTCTTAGTTCGGCCGTTCTCTCCATGAGTCCATACCGTGCCCGCTGAACGTTGGCCTTGAATGCCGCGAAGCTTGGACACGCCCCCTTCTGCCACGATAAATAGGCCTTGCCACAGTTGCAGCAAAGTACCGACTTCTTCGGACAGTCCCTGGTCTGATGGGTGCCCGCGCACCCTCCACATTTCCTTGCCTTGTTGCAGGAAGCTTGGGTGTGCCCCCATTGGCTGCAGTTGAAGCACTGCTTGACTTGTGCCCGGGGTGACCAGAGCTGGGCCGTGTATAGCATTGAGTCCATTACAATGCCATTTCGAATCACTTCACGTTGTAGAGCCTCGGTCGGTAAGCTCGCAATAACTGATCCTCGAGTATGACCATTTTCCTTCACCCAGGTGTGCTCCTTGCCATCATAGAGCCATCTCACCCTATTGATTTGTATCCCTGGAATCCGTGCTTTTGTCTCCGTCGTCATTTTAAATATTGCCACGCTGTTGTTGGCATTCTTTCCTCCGTGAATTATTGTCCCCAGTGGGACTCCCAAGATTTCAACAGGGTAATCCTGCTTTAGGACGCAGAACTCTTTGGGCTGCGCCATCCTCAAGGCAGCGTCTCTCTGGGAGACCGACTGCACGAACACCTCAGTATCATTGCTCCTTAATTGCCTCACGGCGTATGCCCCATTGATATGTAATTTTGCCTCATTAAGCAGCTCTGCCGGCTGCATCTTGTTGGCTCCTTCTACTCGAATCCGTACTGCCGCTTTGGTGGCTGGCGGCGCGACGATCGAGGCGTACGTGGGTCGTCCTCCCATTGTTGGCGCTGGTTGTGGTGCAGTCTTGCAGACCGGCTTATCGAGACTCTCCTTTACGACCTTCTCTAAGGCCAACATTCGATCTTCCATTGGGTTAGCCGTCAGCTTTGATCGGAACATCTTGGCGTGGTCTACGAAGGCATCAAGTACCTCATCTATCTCGACCATTGGTGTCGCAGATTTATCAGTTCCTGCAATCGCCAGTCTATCTCTAACCTTGTTTAGATAGTAAGCCACGGTTTTTAGTTTCTCCAATTTCATGCCAGTAGAAGTCGCGAGAGATTCTACAAGCATTATTGCGGCTGTTCCGCTATCCGTTGGTGGTGGTGGTGGTGCCGTGAAAATTTTTCCAGCCGTGAAATCCACCTTTCCTGTCCCCCAACTCGCCATGCCGAAGCGCAATGAAAAAAATTCGAGGAATCAGGTAAGAGCGATTGATTGAGATGAATGCAATAATTAAAACGATTATATAACGTTCGTGGAACGTGGTGCCGCTTTTGACCAAATGATGATGTTTTTCTTATTATTATTATTATTATTTAACGTCGTGATAGCTCACGAAACATCCACAATTTTTTGATATTCGAGTTTTCGCATCTTCCCTTTTTCCCCCTCCCCCTCTCCCTCACTCTTGCGCTTGTCGCATTCATGAGAAAATTTTGATTGAGTCACTGGCATTTTCACCATGCCACTTGTTCGAAAAAAGCTCCCCAACGCCAAGTTGGACAACGCGAGATTCCGCCCGAGGGCTCTCGAAAAATTATCTGGCCTTGCCCATTCTATAAAATACATAGAGATGGATCATGCCGTTTCAAAAGGGAAGGAAATGTCCCTTCCCGCCGTCGCTGAGCCCGATCCTGACATTATCGGGTTAATTGAATGAATGAAGATTTATTCGTGACGGGCACAAGCTCTGTACTCAAAGAGTATGACACGGAGAAGGCGAGTCCTTCCCCGATGACTATATACGAAAATAACTCAGTTTGACATTTGGACTACTCACGTAGCGGGTGCATTCGCTGATAACACTCGAGACCTTGGGGCTAGGGACTTTCACCCTTCCCTCAACCGTTAATTTCCACCAAAGGGAAAACAAGAAAAATCTTTGGCTACCCTAACATGCCTTTGTCATCACGTATATAGCTACCGCGCGAGATATGCCCTCACAGTCCTCCTTTTCTCTTCTGAGGTAGGTTTCAAGTCTACCCAGACTTTAATTCAGGGAGATGACGATCAGGAGGCGGACCAAAACACCTTCCATCGTTGCCTGTTTTCAGAGTGTCGGTTGCACTATCCTAAATCATTGCCTCTGCGCCCACAGATATCCTTAAGTCAAAAATGTTATGATGGAAGTTGTATAGAGAAGCTTAAGCTGTTGGGCTTGTATTAAAATCACCTAGTGAAGCGAGTTGGGAGATTGTAGAGTCTGAAAACTATAGTGGAGAGTTGTTGATTAAACCCACTTAGTATCAGAGCGCTATTTAAACTAATTACTACAGCTAAGCAAAGGACACGATTCACTTGTTTATGCTAAATAATTGGGATGCTGGTCAATATATGAGTAGTTATGAATGTGGCTAGTAATAATAGAACCTTACTACGTTCCGTATTAATGCGACTCTTCATTGCCAAGTAGCGCTAATTTCAATAAAAAATACCCGAGAAATGTGCGTCCCAGCATGCCCATTTGTGACCCTTTAATCGGTCGTCCCACGTCTTAGCTGCTTGTCCTCCCTCAGGATGTGAAGCCCCATCAGAGCAACGGTACCCCATAGACCAAGACCCGAGCTTTGTAGACTATGACTTTATTTCCTCCTTGCGGGTATACATAGCATCGTAAATATGTAGTGGGAGATGGCCGGTTTTTGATGAGGCAAATGCCCGATAGCAATTGGAGTAACGCCATTATTGGTATTTGAGGTGAGGTGGTGTGGTAAGTTTGAGGTCGAAGACTCGCGTGAGAATGGTAGGTCGGATATTAACGATGAGTCGTCGGTTTTAGACGTGCTTGTGAGTGCTTTCGACTTCGGTTTGGATGCGATTCTTCTAGGCTATCCCAGATATGCAGAGCTGTCAGACCTGTATCAGAACCCGGTGGAATTCGTATTCCTGAATTAATGTTTCGTGATTCATGTAAATTCCATTCTTCTAACATGATCGTAACATTATTGTCAGAATAGTATGCCAAGCTGGTACCTGACATAATTTGTGATTGCTTCAGGAAAACCTTGGCGTTTTGGGTAATTTTCAGCTACAAAATGCTTGGCGTCCGTGTAACAGACGTGGTGGACTGGTATTGAGTCGGTTTAGGATTACATCTTGGCTACAACATGTTTGGATTGTATCCTGTGATGTAAGTAAGCTATTTCTAGATATTATTATCTTACGTCAGGTAGTAGATATGTGTAGATATATAAGCTGAGAGAAAGAGGAAGGAAGACAGACAGACAGACAATTATATCTTTTTATTTTACTTCAATTGAAAGCTCCTGTGCGAGCTATTCTTCCAGATACCTCTAGTCTCAATCATTACAGCTTCCGAACCAGCTCAAAAGGTTCGACAAGAGCACACTGAGCGATTACACCGGCACCACTGGTAGGTGAAGAATTCGTCTTTGCCGGCATCGGGTCAGTTGAAATTGTTGAGGAAATTCCTCAACCATCCTCCGTCCCCCACGGGATTGGGGAATCATCTTAATCTCCTCCGACTGCGTTGGAAATACAGATTCCTGCTTTTCTTTCTATCTACCAATGTGGTTGCATACATCTTGCCTGATCTATTTTTCTGAGTTCAGGCAGGAGCCCATACTTCTGATCCAATTTGACTCAATGTTTAAGTCTGCTTGAATCCCATTCTTCCCGAACAAATCTAGTCATTGGTTTGCTTCTATTTTCTATTGTATGACCCAGTATTTTGAGTCAGTGGATAATGATTATTGGTCTGGCATCTCACTCATTTCTGCGGTCGAGTCGGTTCCGGATAAACTTTCTTCCTTGTAATTCCACCGTATATATCATAATATCTATAGTGAGTGAGTGTTTATTATCCTATTGAGTCTATAACTATGTAATGACATGTAGTTCCTTTCTGCCTACAGGCCAGTAGTATCTATGCCTGGGGTAGTATACTCCCTCCTATGCCTCCTTCACGACTTCTTTCCAGCAGTAATACTCCCACAGGTCTTCATTCGAGTACACACTAAGAGGAGTCGTTATCCCGTCATTGTCTCCCCTCTCCAGCCAACGAAACGATGGCCATTTGCGGGTGTGTAGCTGCAGGGGAAAGTCTCAAAGACTACTGGTTGCGGGGCTCTCCTATGACGGTGAGGCCGGCCAGCCGGGCGTAGCAGACATGTGTATACCTAAGAGTGTTTCTCAAACTTCCTAGCCTCCTTCTTACTCCTCCCCTGATTCATGCCGTAGGACAAATCGAAGGTCGTGAAAGGATGTCAGAAAAGTCTTGGTCAAGAGTGACTGTCTTGAAGGAGCCTGGCCTAGCATCCAAAAGTCGTCACGGACATGGGGTTGTCGAGAAACTCATGTATTTCTGATGCCCTCCTAGCTAGTATATTCGGAAGTTAAGATTAGTAGGGACGACATTTTTGACGAGTCGAAATCTGCTTTTCTTAAGGGCGTATGGGTCTTTTATTTTGCTTTCGTGGGCTTTTAGTTCGCCCGGCGGTGGGTAGTACATGTTGTGATACAACGAGGGCTTCTCTGACTACCGTTGTAGCGTTTGGTACCGCATTACATTTCCTCATTCCCGGCACCATTATCGTTGTCTTGGTTGTCTTATGAGTTATCGGAAGCGTATCTTTGACGGCGGGGGAGATAACTCAGCTCAAATTTGATAAGGTGTTACTCAATCTCGGCTCTGCAGACTCTACAGTGACAGCTGGAGGTTCGTAGGGGACACCACTGACAGGTGTTGAGAATAGTCCCCCTTCCTTTAGGGAGTGCAAGGACTAATGGCTGGTTATCTGGAAGGACTTGGGCAGGTTCGTAGTCTGTCGACTTTATGCAAATGAATGAGGTTATTCCCTTTCATAAAATGCGCTAAGCTATAAATGGCGACGCGCTCATAACGCCTCGTAGATTAGCCGATGAGGTATTACAGAGTTTTGCACGTGCCGAAGATAGGACAACTTTATTTAACAATGAATAATATAACCAAAAACGTTTCTAAGCCCGTCATAAATTCAGCTCTTGTGCGTGCTGGGAGAGAGAAATCTATCAACGGACCATGTACTCGACAATTTTCTCTTGGATTCCGAGCGTACTTCCCTAAATGCAGGTCAAGACAACCAAACCTCACTAGAGTAACGCTTCGTAAACTCACATCTAATTCAACCCCGTCTATTACCAAAAAAACAGGGACATCCAGCGCGGAAAAACAGAGTTCTTCACAGGCAGATGACAACAAGCCGTCGCTCAAGAATATGGGCGATGGCCTTTCGGATGAGCTAGTCACCCAAGACGATAGCAAAGTCGATTGGACTCGATCATTTCATGGATTATCTGTAAAACCATTTTCTAAGGAATCCGCCGACATCTTAATGGCTCCCTTACCCTATGACGATGTAGAGGTGAAACCCGACGGCGTCGTCTATCTTCCAGAAATCAAATATCGTCGTATTTTAAATCGTGCGTTTGGTCCTGGGGCTTGGGGACTTGCACCACGTGGAGAGACCATAGTAACCGAGAAAAGTATTACTCGTGAATACGCACTTGTAGTGCATGGACGGTAGGCTTCTCTGCTCATATACTAGCTAGAATCAGATGGCTAATATAATGCCACATCTAGCTTAGTATCTATTGCGCGTGGTGAGCAAGATTACTTTTCCCCTGAAGGTATACCCACTGCCACCGAAGGCTGTAAATCAAATGCATTAATGCGCTGTTGTAAAGATCTTGGGATCGCCAGTGAGTTATGGGACCCTAGATTCATCAGGAAATTCCTCAGTGAAAAGGCTAAACAAGTGTGGGCTGAACATACGGTTACAAAACGTAAGAAGCAAATCTGGATGAGAAAAGATGATGAGCTCCGATACCCTTACAAACAATCATAAGCCGGTCAGTCAAGAACAGGTACACCTGATCATGAAGCTGAACCATGTATCATATCTGAAAAGTTTAATTCTATACGAGAAATAAGTAATCTTTGCTTTTTATATGCTGTTTAGAAATAATGAAACCTTTAACTGCAAAACAACTCTCTCCATACGTCGGTATCCTTGATTCACTTACATGATCTTAAGCTCATAACAGGGCTCGACCCTCACTGTCCATAAGAGCATAGTTAAAAATTGTAAAATTGGAATATAAAAAAATGTAGCTATTATCTTATATGTAGATTCTAGGAGTCCTCTATAGTCATTGACTCAGTTAGGACTATATTAAAAATCTAATCTAATCTAATCTAATCTTAAGCTCATACAGAAGCTCATTTCAAGCGTGTGAACCCTTTCGAAAATATAAAATTTTGTTACCTTTGATGGTCAACTTTTTGATTGGTAGAACATAAAAAATCGGTCCATCATATCTCAAAAATAAAGATGCCATAATTTTGACCATAAAGTCCTTGCTGGACGAGATTTCAAGTTTCTTTCTAAATCCACATAATTTTAAACCCCTCCCCACATGAACTCAGGACCTAACCTTTATCTTAGGCCATACTTTTTTTTAAATCATCGACACACTGAAATCACCTTTAAAAAGTAATTTTAGAAATTTTACCCGTTCTCACAATCCTTTCAACGGATTTTGTTCCCCTAGGAAGTCAGGGTAAACCATAAATGACAACAAAGTCCTCTTATTTTATGAAAAAATCGAGGACTTACAGGGTTTTCTGTTAAAATATGAGACGACAGGATATTCAAGGCTTGGACATCGTGTACGGCTCTAGGCCACAAAATATATCACTAATGTACTGGTTAGGCGATTATGTTTACAGTTTCATAGATTTACCTACAACAAAAGAATACAGGTTTACTCTTATACATTCTGTCCATATACCTACAGCATAGTATTGTATTAGTCTATTCACTGTCACACACTCCTCATCACTCCGCAATATGACTTCCGCATAGCTCATAACCACAACAAAGTCCTCATGGCTAATTACCCCAAACCATAGTCTCGGCACCCACAAAGGTTCCAAACTTGGAACCCCCCCGAAAATGACAGTCTCCGCACTCTATTTATAGACCTCTTCCTTCTCCTGCTCCACTTATCAGCCACCTGTTTTTCCTAGAGTTGTTTGTCCCAATAAATCATCAGTCCCACATAAACCATTACTCAAGCTTTTTATGTTATGACTTAATTCCCTTCTCACGGGAATACGTAGCTTCATAAATTTGAAGTGGTCTTTGGACGTTAATTAATGTAGCAAGCTTTTATTTGCGTTTTGTACAACGCATTTATCGGTCGTCGAGGCGAGGTGATGTGTGATAAGGTTGAGGTAGAGGTAGAGAAATCGCTTAGGAAAGATAGGTATAGCATTGATGAGAAGTCGTCAAATAGGGATAGATTTGTGTTTACTATCGAGCTCGACTCGGTTACGATTCTTCTTGGCTATCTCAGATATGCAGAGCATACCGAGCGATTACACTGGTACCACTGGAAGGTGGAGAGTTAGTCTCTGCCAGCAATCAGGAGATATTATATCCTAGCCAGTACATAGCTTTTTCTTCCTCTGAGATATCGTGAAATTACATGACATTTATAATGTTACATAGGAAGAGGATTTTAGAAAATTCGGCCGTTCCGAAGTTATCAGAATTGAGAATTGGTTCCGGAGATTGGAAGAATTATACACTAGTCTCGAGTTTGATTTAGAGATACAATAAATATGTTTAATATACAAAGAAGTGGATCATCATTTTTGCCAGAAAGCTGCGCCGCGTTCCACGCTGCCTGTATCAGCAATTTGACATCGTGATTATTAGTTTTACATCTTCATTACCCTCCTTACATCTTTTCGCTTTCCGTGCTCCAACATGGCGAGTGTGGGTGCTGGTGTGGGTAAATCCAGCGGTTTCGACGCGTCGCAAAATGGGACAATGGCCCCAACAAATAACGGCAGCAGAGCGCAGACAGCTCCAAAGGATAAGAACCTTGAGATCCTAGGGAAACTATTGAAACAGGTTAGACTCATCGTGATGGGAGAGATGGATGAGGAGGACCTACCCTCAATGGAAGACGTTAACGAGGCCGTCAAGGCCTTTGACGCGCACAAAAGGGCCTGGACGGAAATGTTCCAGAAGAAGTCTCCTATCGAGGAGAAGATGATGGCTTTAGAGGAAGTCGTAAAGAAAAGCCTCGCGGATCCCTCTCGAAAAGCTGCTCCAGCAGTGGTTTCGGGCGCGCCGACACCAAGGAGTTACGCGTCGGTCGTAGCTCCGCAAATGGCGAAAACGGCAGTCATAATAAGAATCGACGGCGCCCAAAACTTGCAGCCACAAGAGCTGCTAACAAAGGCACAACAACACATTAAAGGCGCATACGCGATTCGCCAAATGCGAAGCAACGTCGCTGAGGTTTTCGTCCAGTCGGCGTCCCAGAGAGACGTGGCGCTAAACATGCGACAACCGACGGATTTCAAAATTCTACGGCAAGATTTCCTAGTCGAGGTTGACGGTGTCCCAATACTGACACGAATTGAAGGGGGCAGAGATGCCAATAATTTTGCTATCATCAGGGAGATAGAGACGGCAACAAAGGCACGGATTCCAGGCTTAGTGATAAGTCGTATAAGGTGGTTACACGACGGAAAGGAACATCAGCGGTCAAAGAAAAATGGCCGCACTCGTGGATCAATAGTGGTAAGCCTCCCATCGGAGGCAATGCAAACGGAGGTAGTGCGACAGGGCCTTGTTATCAACGCCATGCTCTTCACCGCGCAGGTATGGTCGCCACGGGCTCAGCCAAAGCAGTGTTACAACTGCAGCCAATGGGGACACACGCAGGCGTCGTGTGGAAAGGCAGCCAGGTGCGGTGAGTGCGCTGGCACTCACCCAACTCGGGACTGTCCGAGGAAAAGGGTTTCTTGTGCCAACTGCGGCAAGGAGCACCGTTCATGGCAGAAAGCAGCGTGTCGGACCTACCAGGTCTACAAGGGAAGTGTGGAGAAGGCTCGGATGGAGCTGTTATCGAGGACGGCGGAAATATGGAACGAGAAACCTACGGTGGCGCCAATGCGAACAGTCCAAACGACTGATGATCAAGGATTCACTCTGGTCACCAGTAAAAAGGCTGAAGGAATCAAAAGAGGGCCGGGACGACCGCGCAAGGTAGTCGAAGCCCCAGTGGCACCAGCAATCCCCGCCACAACAGCACCTCCATCGGGACCAACTCTTCGAACACTTCGAAGACCAACGCCGAGTGAGGAGGTGCCTTCTCTTTTCAATTTCTCACAACGTTAGTCTGATTGAAGGGGGAGTTAATGAATTTCGAGGAAAGTTTACATAATTGCGGTTGAATGGAACGTCCTCAGCATAAAGCCGGGTCGGTTCAAAGTGGCAGGACATCGGGTTTTGTTTGTTGAAAGCTTTTTCCCTTACCAAAGCGGCTTACCGTCTTCATGGTTCTGTATATAGATACCGCATAGGACGTTAAACTAGATCAATGAATGAAATAAATAAATAAATAAATAAATAAATAAATAAATAAATAAATAAATAAATAAATAAATAAATAAATAAATAAATAAATAAATAAATAAATAAATAAATAAATAAATAAATAAATAAATAAATAAATAAATAAATAAATAAATAAATAAATAAATAAATAAATAAATAAATAAATAAATAAATAAATAAATAACAAAAAAACATCATTTTTGCCAGAAAGCTGCGCAGCCTTCCACGCTGCCCGTATCATCAATTTGACATCGTGATTCTTATTTTTACATCTTTATTACCCTCCTCTCATCTTTTCGCTTTCCGTGCTCCAACATGGCGAGTGTGGGTGCTGGTGTGGGTAAATCCAGCGGATTCGACGCGTCGCAAAATGCGACAATGGCACCAACAAATAACGGCAGCGGAGCGCAAACAGCTCCAAAGGATAAGAACCTTGAAATTTTAGGGAAACTATTAAAAAAGGTCAGACTAACCGTGATGGGAGAGGTGGATGAGGAGGACTTACCCTCAATGGAGGACGTGAACGAGGCCGTCAAGGCCTTCAACGCGCACAAAAGGGCCTGGACGGAAATGTCCCAGAAAAAGTCTCCTATCGAGGAGAGGATGATGGCGCTCGAGGAGGTTGTCAAAAAGAGCCTCGCGGATCCTGCTCGAAAAGCTGCACCAGCAGTGGTTTCGGGCGCGCCGACACAAAGGAGTTACGCGTCGGTCGTGGCTCCGCAAATGACGAAAACAGCGGTTAGGATAAGAATCGATGGCGCACAAAACTTGCAGCCACAAGAACTGCTGTCAAAGGCACAACAACACATCGAAGGCGCATTTGCAATTCGACAGATGCGTAGCAACGACACCGAGGTGTTCGTCCAGTCGGCGTCCCAGAGAGACGCGGCGCTTAATATGCGACAACCAACGGATTTTAAAATTTTGCGGCAAGACTTTCCTGTTGAGGTTTCCGGAGTCCCACTGCGGACAAGAATTGAGGGTGGCAGAGATGCCAACAACTACGCCATCATCAGGGAGATTGAGACGGCGACCAAGGCACGTATTCCAGGCCTGGTTATTAGCAGAATACGATGGCTACATGATGGAAAGGAACATCAGCGATCAAAGAAAAACGGTCGCAATCGTGGTTCAATTGTGGTAAGCCTCCCATCGGAGGCAATGCAGACGGAAGTAGTTCGACAGGGCCTTGTCATTAACGCCATGCTCTTCACCGCGCAGGTATGGTCGCCACGGGCTCAGCCAAAGCAGTGTTACAACTGCAGCCAATGGGGACACACGCAGGCGTCGTGTGGAAAGGCAGCCAGGTGCGGTGAGTGCGCTGGCACTCACCAAACTCGGGACTGTCCGAGGAAAAGAGTTTCTTGTGCCAACTGCGGCAAGGAACATCGTTCATGGCAGAAAGCAGCGTGTCGGACCTACCAGGT